CCGCCCCCAAAAAAAAAAACCCCTAAAAAAGAAAAAAAAAAAAAAAAAAAAAAGACCAGGCTTTGGTCTAGCCTCTTTTCTATATTTGTATTAGTTCATTTTGAATTAATAACCGAGGGCTAAAGTGGTGCTTTGATCTTTTATACAGTTCTTTTTGTTGGTTTTTTTTTTTTTTTTGCCAGAGTGGGTGCACTCACCAGAGGGGGACAGAGACCCTGAGAGGGGACAGGAGACAGCAGCCCTGTAGGACACAGGCGCCCACGACCTCTTCTCCTCCGCTTGTCCCTCCTTTGGGGACTTTGGGGATGATGCACACGTTACTGGCATGTTTCCCAAGTCACCAGGTCCAGCACTCAAACCGACTGCACAGTCATCAATGTCGGATCCAGCTCCTCAACCGCCAGGCCAGGGGCTGGCCCAATTTTTATGCTTTTAACATATATTTGTTGCTAAGCCTGGCATACTCCTGCTCAAAACCTCTCAGGGGCCAACAATGAGGAATAAGGACCGAACTTTTGTCCTTAACCGCCAACCTTCACTGGCTTGCCCAGCCTTCCTCCCTGCCTCTCGCAGGTGGCTGACGTCCGGGTTACTCCACTGATGATGGCCCGCAATGGGTCATGACTAAGGGTCTGCAGACCCCTGTTCCTTCCCTCTGCCTAAAACACCCTTCCCCTCTACTCACTCCCAGCTGTTCGGATCTCACCTCTGAACCCTCAGCCCAGGAATCGCTTCCTCCGGAAGCCCCCTCAGCTTTACTATCGCTCTGTATCTGGTAGAGCTTCCCTCTCTCTGCTTTCCTAAGCTTCTCATTGGACCAGACTCCCATGTGAACATTTCTTATCCCCACTAAATGCCAAGCTCTGCATATCAGGGGTCCTCAGAAAGTTTGTGGAAAATGGAATGAACTACAAGTTTATTTTGGTAGAAAAACAATTTTGAAATCATGCATAGTTTTCTGCAATGTGCATTTTCCATGACCTTTTGAAAGACCTTGTAGGTGAGGAGAGTAACAGCTGTTTTCATGCAGCCCTGGAGCCCCTGCCCTTCTCACTTTTGTACCCACCATGCTGCCTCGGAAGCGGCAATGTTGATCGAGGGAAAGGTCAAGTAACGGGGGCAGGCAGGTGGTGTGGGGTTAAGGTGTTGGACTCCCAGATGGCCCACCGTGGTTCAAGTTCCAGACCTGGCAGGTTGAAAATCATGCCAGGTAGGTACTTGTGTGTGCATGTCCAAAATCCCAGGGAGAGACTGGTGAAGGGGTTGAGGCATGGCCTCCCCTTCTGGATGTTGATTTCTCACTTTCCCTCTCGCTGACTCTGTCTCTCCCTCTCTCTATGGTGAGTGCACATCCAGAGGTCTCCCTGTCCATGCCGCTGCACACATGCTGTGAGCCAGACTGGGCAGGGGCACGGATCACGGCATGAGGGCCCTGTTGGCATGCCTCTGTCTCTCCTCTCTCTCATGGAAGAGATAAAACTGCATTGACTTAAAAGAACTTCTACTCCAACATTTACTTTTACACCTAAATGTGGAGACAGCACTACTGGTTACCCGGAAGAACAATGATAGTACTCCCCGAACCCCAGCTTCCCTAGCAGTTTGGGTGGAAAAGACGGTGCCCCCACAGTCCCATTCATCATCGAGCAGGGGTTTGTTACAGGGCTGAGCAGAGAGCAGGCTGTGGAGGGGCGTGGCAGCACCAGGACCTGAGTCCCCCCGTGGGCGGGGGGCACTCCAGGAAGCCTGCGGGGGCAAGCACGCCCACCCCAAGCCCTCCCCCCCCCGGCCCCCGGTGTTTCTCTGATCTTGGGGCTCCACAGCCCTGGCTCCAGTAGTAACAAGCTCAGCCTTTCTGCTCGCCATGTGTGGGTATGGGAAGGCTCGCTGAGATGCCTTACAGGGGGTGACAGAGAACAGGGTGTCCCTCCAGGAGGAGCGGAGGTGAATGAGAGCTGCAGAGCCGGCTTACATGGCAGTCACAGTCCTTCTTCCGTGCTGTGGGGCATGTCTCGCTTGGCCATTGGCAGCCTCCTGCTGATGGGGCTTTTAGACACAGGAGGCGCTGCGTAGGGAGATGGGAGCAGCGCAGCGGTCCGAAAGCTGAGGGTCACATGCGTCTCTGGCGAACACCAGCTCTGCAAACCGGAGCCAGTTCTTCGCTTCTCGGCACCTCGATTTCCTCATCTGTAAAATGCTCGTAACCCTCAGGCCTGCTGTGGGGATGGAATAAGAACACTGCAAAGAGTCTGTACATTTAGACCTTGGAAAAGACGTAGAAAAGATGACGTGACTCAGTGTCTCAACTTTGCCGTTACAGGAGCCATGGAGGCAGACACTGGAGAAGGCAAGGCAACTTGTGGAGAAATCCCCAGCTCTGGTAAGCAGCCGGCGGCAGAGTGCCAGCCTCTTCCTAGGCATGTGTGCTCCCGCTGGCCCCGGCTTTCACACCCCAAGGCCAAGGCTCCGATGGCAGCCAGCGGCTCGCCAGGTGGCACTGCAGTCAGCGGGAGCATGAGCGCCTTCCCATTATGCTCTCCTGCCTCCTCTCTGCAGCTGGGACCCTAACCCTAACACTAACCTAGCCCTAACCTAACCTAACCCTAACTCTAACCTAACCTAACCCTAACCTAACCCTTCCCACTGTGCTCTCCTGCCTCCTCTCTGCAGCTGGGACCCTAACCCTAACACTAACCTAGCCCTAACCTAACCTAACCCTAACTCTAACCTAACCTAACCCTAACCTAACCCTTCCCACTGTGCTCTCCTGCCTCCTCTCTGCAGCTGGGACCCTAACCCTAACCATAACCATAATGGCTATGTCGCTGAACTCCACATAGTCAACCATGGTTTGAGTCCCAGACCTGGTGGCTTAAACTCACGCCAGGCACATGTGCATGTGTGCCCAAGATCCCGAGAGGAGAATGGAGGAGAAGGGATTGTGGCGTGGCCATCCCCCCTGGGGGGGTGATTTCTCGCTTTCTGTCTCTCTCTGTCTTTCTGGCAAGTGCACACACCCTATGGCAAAAACCTCTCCCCCCCAAAAAAAAAATACATGGGGAAAACTTGGTCGCATCCCTACTAGGAAGGTAAAGAGATTTCTTGTCATTAGTCTTTAAGTGATACACTGTGACGACCATGTACGCAGCACTTACACTGGACCAGGTGTTCTAGGGAGCAGGGGGAGGCACGCAGGTTATACACATGTGCCACAACCCACTGTGTAAGGGGTTTGAGCAGCCGTGGGTCTGGGTGTCCACAAGGGTGTGGAGCCATCCTGTGCAGACGCCCAAGGGCAGGTTTATTTGACTGAGGTCCTGGTTGCTAATCAGCCCAGAGGGGAGGAAGCAGAAAGGCAGATCTGTGCGAAGAACAGTGTCATCCTCGCCGCTCGGGTCCTGGCGGGAGGCGCTATCAGCAGGAGGCGGGCATAGACCTGTCCTTGGCTTCCGCCTCCACTGAGCTCATCTCTCACCTGAGCGCTCGTTTACGGTATCATCGATGTGGCTACATGAAGGAGAGGAGAGGAAATCTCTGGCCAGGCTCGCCAGGTGCAGAAGTGGGTGCCTGGTTGAATGCGAATCTCACCCTCTAATGTTTTAGTATGTCCTTGCATTGTTGTCAGCAGCGGCCCTTCTTACGGGGCGTGGTGGGGCATAAGGGTTCCGTGCAAGCCGATACATAATCAATGGAAACTTGCTGGGGCCTCTACACAGTGGACGCATCGGTCACACGGTCTGCATCTCCAATCAGTGCTCAGTTCGAGGAGCCACTAAGGGCGGACAGCAGCCATGCGGTTTCTCTGCCTGGATGCTGAGCATGAAGCTGAAACCGTGGGAAAACCTGCCCAGCTCCTCCGTCACCCTGAGTGGAAACGGCAATCGCAGTCCCTTGTACAAACTGCCTTGGCCTCAACACAGAGGCTCATTAGGATCTTACAATTGTTCTTCTTTTCCTACATTTGCAAGCAGAATTCATGGGGCAGGATTCCAATAATTACTTACAAGGAACCAAAAGAAAAAAAACTTTTTTCTACTGAACAATTCAAAAATAAAATCCTCAGAAATCTCCCTCAATCTATTTACTCCCCAGATTAAATCTGCTATGGAAAAACAATCCTAAAATGCAAATAAAGTCTCCGAAGAGCGGCTCGGGGAGAACGGCTACCGTCGGTCCCTCTGTGATGGCTTATCACTGTCAACCTACCAGGAAGCAGAGAGCGGCACACGGCAGGTCGCATGTTTCAGCCCCGCCCAGCACGGCAGACTGAGGCCGGGGGCGCTGTGGGTGCTGGGGAAGAGAATCAGACATTCCAGGGGAAGCCCGCATCCCAGCGAGGCCCCGAGAGGCTCGTGGGGGGCTTTTCCTGGACTAGGCAGAGCACTAAGCGTGGAAGGGTTCAGAGCACCTGATGGAATCGCTTCACTGAATTCCCGGTGCTGGGTCCGCAGAGCACTTCTGTTACCAACTCCACCCTTCAGGTGAGGGGACTGAGTCTTGGGTAGATGCAGTAATTTGCTCACTCCACAGAGCGGGGAGGTGAGAACCCACCATTTAAATTCAGAGCTGGCTATGTGCGAGTTCAACACCCACTGGGTGATGCCAAGAGCTGTCCGCCAGGCCTCCTCAGGGAACACCACTCCTGTCACAGGCTATGGGGCCCTGGGATCCTGCGGGTGCGTGTGTTGGTTTGATCACAAACACCGCTATCCAAGAGAATCATCCAGCAGCCCTTTAGAAGTTGCTGATGTCAGCCCACCCCAGGCCAGTTAGGCCCGGGCGATGTAATACACATGGTCCAGAAAGCTCTTCTCACCATGCAGAGACCCGCTTTGATTGGCGTGTACAGAAGAGAGGTCACTCTCTCCCGTTGGCCATTCCCCCACTGCCCCTTATTCAAACCTGCTTGTTCTGAATTCAGTCGGCGTTCTGGCCAGTGGAGCTGGGTAAACGGATTGCGAAGGAAAGATGCTGCCTCGCTCTGTCCCCAGGGACAGCGAGAGTCGAGGCTTTCAGCTGAGGCGGGATTAGATGCAGCCAGGCGCAATATTTGAAATCCACGAGGAGTTAGTAGCAGCCCACACTTGGTCTCTCTCTAGAAAAGTTCTGACAGAAAGATAGCAGCTGGCAAACAGGCAGACAGGGGCTTCTGCAAGGCCTCGCGGGGCCCACCCAGTCCTCTCTGCAGGTCACTGTAAGAAGAGGCTGCCATTTCTGTGCTACGAGATGGGGACACCAGGCAGCTAACCCTGTCTACCCAGGCATGCTGGGGGTTGGGGGCCGCTCTGCCGTCTGTCAGCCCCTCCCCACCCCGACTTCTGCACGGACAGCTACAGCTGCCGCGGAACCTAGACGGCGAAGCACCGTGCAGTGCGGTTTGAGTCCACCGTCCCTCTTGGACTGACAAGGCTGTCCCTTAATGAGACTTGGCGTATGAGTTATCAGCATTAAGAATCTACACTGCCATTAGGCAGATGAGACCAAGGCCTTGTGACTGAAGTAAACATTCAAAGCAGCTCCAACATTCAGATGCAGCTTACTCAGGACTCGGGTCTCGGCAGGCATCTCCCCGTGCCTCCAGTGTCCGGTGTACCCTCACGCTAGCATCCTCAGTGTGTCTGCAGTCAGACGCCAACTGCCCAGTGTCTGAATTCAACCTAAATCTCTCCCCTTTGCACCCCCACACGCCTAGTGGCAATTCTGTCCCTACCTCCACCTCGCCCCCAGAGGATACCTGACAGTGTCTGCAGTCTGCTTTGTACTCTGGCATCCTGTGGGCAGAGCCCAGAGACACTGCCAATCAAGCACGGGGCTCGGGACAGCCACATTGCAAGGATCCAGTTACTGTCAGTCCAAATCGGTGACGGTGAGGAGGCCAGAGACCCTGGTGTCAGCCCCGGAGCCTCTGCTTTCCAGGAGCCTCCCTTACGCTGCCTCCCCTTGGGATTGCTAGTGTGCTTCCTCTGTGATTCCTCTGCCCACGCCTTCAAGGTCTCAGACCCCAGGGTGACCCAGGCCATGGCATCCCGGGTGTGTGTGATGTCTCCACCTTCCCACAGTGCGCCGCATCCTGTAGTTCCCGACATGGCGGCAGGCAGAGGCATCAGGCGGTCCTCTGAGACGCAAACCTGCTCATGCCTCCTCAGCGCTGGGGCAGGGGCGCCCTCTCTGCCGGGAGCTGGCTTCTCTGGCGCTAGCGTGCAGCCCGAGGACGTTAGCACGCGGATTCTATCGCACAGGTCATGGGGCCTGAGACTCCACATCCCTACAAGCAGTGGCGTCACTAGTCCTGGTCGCGGTCACCTTGACTGGACCTGGGCAGTGGTCCTCGAGCCATCGTAGGCTTCAGGGTGGCCTGGAGGGCTTGGAAACACGGTCGCCAGGCCCCTCCCAGGCTCTGGTTCA